ATGTGCTTTTTTTCCTTCCTTCTGAAATAACAATTGTTTTGTTTGTAATACATAACTATCTAAAACAGGGATAAATAATCAAATTAGAAGAAATTCAACGTTTTCCTCAATGCAAATAGATGAAAAATTCCTACTACGATCACCGCCAAGTTGTTGCGCTCGAATAACTTTTACATGCATTTTATTCGGTTTTGTTTGCAGTTTAGTACTGTGATTCGTTAATTGTATCTGAAAAACTACCACAAAAGTTATTTGGACCTCAAAATTGTAAAGTCTAGAAACTTTACAAGTTTGCTCCTCTCTCCCTTTTGCTGCATGCATACCTCATACCATAAAATGTTTTTTTCTCTCTCTCTGTTTTTTTCTTTTTTTTACATTTTTTTATTTTAAGCTCCTTCTCTTTAATTCTCGAAAAAAAATTTGAGGAGAGAGATGGTTAGATGAACTAATGATACCAATAATGAGGAAAAATTTCTTTCTTTTAATTAAATTTGCCAATTGATATAATTGATTATATTCGTGATATTGATTATATTCGGGAATATACCCCGTATTATATTTCATGTTGATCAAATTGTTTGTATGCGTACCGATACTGACTGATTGATCCGTTTCGTCATTTCATGTGCTGGTACTGTAACCAAATTATCAGTAATATCAACCTCATCCGGTCCATGAACATTTTTTGACATCGCACGTGGAATTATCAGTACATTAGGTGGCATCATACCGGTTGTCATTTTGTCACACTTTCCACCAGGTTCCGATAGTGATACATTCGTAACAGCGGAAAGAAGGCATTTACGGATCATTTCATCCACTATCGTATTGGAAACCGTTCCCGTCTATAAACATTTGATATTTTCGGAAAATGAAATATGATAAACAAATGCTGTAAAAATACAAAATAGAAAGAAGTACCGGAGCAGGATTCCTATTTACCAGTTCTATGTCTAATTCAGGTCGTCCACAAAAGCATGCCATCATGTAGATTTGGTTCGCGATGCATGCCAAACGTAATTCTATCTGAAATGAATTTCAGAAGTTCATAATATCAAAAAATAGGTTATTGATTGATTGTTTCCATTTTATAAATTTATTTATTTGCTAATTGTTTTGGTTTTTTTTACGATTAAAAAGGAAAAATTTATCAACAACCTCGCCATGCAAATCAGTGACTTTTGCATCAAAATTGGTAACTACTAATCGATCGCCTGTTCGTTGCGAACTCATCAGTTTGAGGTTTACTTCTGGTATATTGATTTTACTTTTTATAATCTGTAAGATAAATTATACATGATAAAATGATAAACAAACAAAAAAACAAACAGATAAAAACAGTAACTAATTACATAGAATTATAAATTGAACCTACAAGATGATCATTAGGTGATTGTTGTAGACGAATATCAGTAATACGTGGGGCTCTTGTAACGTTCTTATTATCGCTGAAACCTTCGAACAATACTTCAAATTTTCCCTGAAATTATAAGTCAGATATTAACTTCAAGTAATAATTATTTATATCATTGCCATTTGTGTAAGCTATATTTAAGGTGACATATTGTCATAGTAATAAGAGGTGTAGCAATATTGGTTAAAATAATAATAATTGGGATAAATGAATAGTTGAAGCTATATATTACAGGTATGGAAATTTTTTTAGCAGCCTCATTCATAGCTATTATCCAAGCTTGTAAGATATCCGGTACACGGTGCATATTATTGAATAGCCATCCGATCATATCATTTAACCAGTCTGTTGAATGTTCATCACTACTCCATTTGCTGCAATTTTAACAAATTAGAAACTTTGATTAAACAATGCCTGAAATTCAACTCATCCAATTACATTTTTGATGATGCTATCAAATAACAACAAATACAATATAGCAGACTGACGTAAAACATACTAAAATAATATTTAAATCAATTATTGTTTTTGCACTACACATAAGAAACAATAATAGCAATAGTCCCTTGATTAATTACCCATACCTGGAAGTAGTGTGGGATTTGATGACATTATCATTTACTTCGGTGGTTACTGTCGTCTGAGGTGCACCTACTTTTGCAAGCATGAAATAGCATAATACGCCCACGATAAGCCAAGATATGATTAGCCATGTTAAACCATCCATGACTTTTTTTCGTTTTTTTGAAATTGCGCTATAATTAGTTCGCCTGAAATATTTCATTCATCAGTGATAATCATAATATAATTGTTGCCGAGAAATAAATGTTTTTAATACATCTTCAAGCTAAAACTTACTTTTCTTTTAACTGTTACAATTGTTATTATTGTGATTGTCACTTTAGGGATAATAATTATAAAAGCTAAGAACATAGCAATTATATCAGTTATTATAATTTATTACAAGTTATTTCTGTTTTTATTCATTGTAAACTTCAGAAATTATAAAACTTTTCAATATCCTAGAACATATATTGTCATTCAATGAGATTATAATAGCAATGATAAATGATAAAGATAGTAATGAAAATATCACTAGAAACTGTAGCAATGAATAATTATATTGCTCATTTACTTATATTTCATCACAAAACGTCGAGTCATCTTTGCATATTCATTATTATGTCAGCAAAAATTTGTAATTCAAATCATGCATTACTATCATTATCATTATCAACAAACATGCGATATATAAAACCATTATCAAAATTTCACTTTGATCATCTTTAAATATTACCAAATTTAAATCCATTTTAGATGCACAAAAGATTTTCGTGAAATTATATATATATATATATATATGTATATATGTATGTACATGAACTTCACTAATAATGATAACAATAAGTTAATTATAAGCAATGCGTAGATAAATTATTATATAATTAATTATAATTAATTATATAATTAATTAAAATTTGTTTACCAATTATTATATAATTAATTATATAATTAATTAAAGTAATAAAAATTACATTTGAAAGGATACTATGACTGGTTAGAAATAATGAAAATGTTACGTTCTAATTGGTAAACAAATTTTCGGATGTAAAGCTGTAATTCGTTGAAAAATTGTTGGAAAGAATAGTGATGAAAGTTCTGTTGGTGAATAATGTAATTCGAAACCTCACTAAGAAGTGCATCTAAAAACACACACACACATACACATACACGAACATTACAACATTTAAGCTTCAAAACTTTTCTACACACACAGACACACGCAGACACACACATACACAAACACACACATACAAACACACACACACACACACACAAACATATAGATCATACGAATACACAAATATTCCGTTAATTGTCTCTGACACATTAACATTTCACCAATTCAAACAGACATACGAAGTAAATTAGGAAAGTATTTTACAAATAATTCACTGACAAATAGTAAGCATTACGTAAAGAATAAAATAGTTAAACGTTGAAAACGTGAAAAAGTATGTAATTACGACGTGTTTATCTGTCTGATTGACTTATTCATTCTCTTCTTCCTCCTCCATTTCCTCCCCTCTTCCTCCATTCCCTCTTCTCCTTCTTTCCTTTTTCTTTTTCATTTACTTTTTTTTACATCTCTTCAACAATTTGAAAGATAAAAAAGTGGAGGAAGAGAAGGAATACTTATTTTTTTGTATCACTTATTGAAGGATATAGCTGCAATGAAAATTCCAACACTAATCGATCATTCATTCCGAATTTTTGCCCGATCGATCGCCCCAAAATACATAAGTTTGAAATTTATGGAATAAATTTTAAAGCTTCCACACCTTTTTTCTTTTCCCTTCTCTCTCTCCCCCTCACTTCCTTTCTCTCCTCTCCCTTTTCTTCCTTTCTCATTCTCTGGTTTTAAGAAATATTTTCGAAAACTTTTAAGAAATATTTTCGGATTATTTGCACTTTTTAATAATATTAAAAATAAAACATTTATTAATTTTTTACGACAAAGTGATGGAAAAAATTTACGTAATTTAAAAGGTAATTTAAATGTGACCTAAAATTTTAAGTTTTAAAATTTGCAATGTATTAATGATAACACACATGAGCATGTTATCAGTAATCATTTGTTTATGATTATGTTATCATTTGTTGTGATTTTATCATCCATCATCATCATCATTATCATCATCATCATCATCATCATCATCCATAGGAATCTTTAAAATCATGTTTGAATACTAAAGATGTATTTTGCATTCAATATTTCAATTCAATAATTCATTTTTCTCCCCCTCCCTCTCTCTTTTTCATCCTCTCACTCTTACTCTATCCCAGTTATTTTTGTTCTATTACATCCTCAAAATTATCAAACACGGTTAGCATCATTATTTATCTCAAATGATAAATTTACGATAGTATTATTACGATATAATTAATAAAATAATTTTTTTAAATAATTTTTAAAAAATTCTTTTCAAAAAATAATTTTTTAAATAATTTTTATTTCTGATTTCTTAAAAATCTATAGATTTTTCAAAAATTTTTGTTTTTTGAACTAATTTAAAGATTCCGTACCTGCGATATATTTTTGTTTTTAAAAAAAAATTTCAATACTGCTTGGAAATGTGTTAGAAGAATCATTAATCTTGTCTTGTTGTGATGCCATGATGAAAAGTTAAATGAAAAACACAAAAACGTAAAATGGGCATTTCTGAAATTCATGAAACATTTGATATGGATGAAATTCAGCTTGTTGAAAACTACGTTAAACAGTAGCAATTCTGATTTTTATCGGCAAATTCCACCATTTAATTAATGTTTCAAAAAAAAAAAAGGAAAAAAACGTGAAAAGGGAAAAAAAGATAAAGTACTTTGCATTTGGTAACAATGATTTCATTGATTTGTACCATTTTCAAATTTATAAACACTTGCAAATTTAATTCCTTTTTTCAAAAAATGAATAAATAAATAAAAGACAGAATCAACGTAAATCTTAAGGTGATGATAATGATGATGATGATGATGATGACATCTATCGTTAATCGTTCGAGTTAATAATTGAACGAAAAAGAAAAAAAAAGAATTGTAACCATCGTTTGATTGAAAAATAAAAAATCAAGCAACAAAATATGATGCAAAATCAGCTGAGCCACTTTTTTTTTGCTTTTCTTTTTTTAAACAACATTAACAGGATATTTTAGTTGGTGAAATTAAATGCTTTGCTTCTCTTTTATTGCAACAAAAATAGCTAGAAGAAATGGATAAGATTATTAAACTGAAGTGAATTTTTAAAGATGAGACTATAATTATTTATTTAAAAATAATTATAATTCTATCAACAAAATCTTTATCAGATAATGTGTAGTGAATTTGAAATTAATTGAAAATTAAATACATTTCAATGTATGTGAATGATATCCCCGAAAAATATATTGTTGGTAAAAGTTAAATTGTATTAAAGGAAATATGTTAAAACATTAATTGATGCAAACGAATGTTACCGTAATATATTGTCGAAATATATTATCGTAAGATTCTTCGAGCATAGTTTATTACTAAAAATGAATTTAAATAATAAAAATTTCAATGATTTGGGAAAAAGAAGAATTTAAGAAAATTAACATAAAAATTATTGGAAATAAATAACAGCGATAATGCATTAATATGCCTTAAATGTTTGCTAAACAAATATTTTAATATAACGTTAAATTAAACACAAAACATTATACTATGACAAAGCTTTAACATTTATGATATACTATCTACAGCATATCAGATATCAATCATAATATATTTGGGTGAGGAAAAATATCACAATTTTGCGTTTACTAACAATAAGATTATATGATAGTAGTTGGATAAACATTTTAACGTGAATTAAATTTGATTAATTTCGGCAAACTTCTTTCACAACGGGTTATGGCATCAAACAGAAAGGCTACGATTGAAGGATTGCAACAAGATGAATTAAACTAATTAATTTTAACAAACTTTTCCTGTGCATTTCTTTCAAAATGTTACAATTACAAAACATAAATGATATGATTGAGTCTGATATGTAATATCTGATATAATCAACACAGAAACTATATGAATGAGTTTCGAACAAAATTTAATCGGATAATCTTGACAAAAAAGTATAGAATATTGCTAAAATCATTGTTTTTTATAATATTTCATCGGTTATTTATTGCGAGTATTAAGCGAAGCACTGGTACATACAGCACCGAAAAACTGAAATTTACAATACTATTTTAGATTTACATTGCTATTTTAGTCGCAATACTATTTCTTCCAATCGGATATAGTACTGGTTACAGTACTATTTTTCTACTTCATTTATAATACTATTTTAGCAAGAACAATAACCATCTTTTTTATCTTATAAACTGGGAATATATATCATATAAATTCAAATATGGAGATTAGTATCATGCATCCCGTGATATAGTTGGATGCAATTCTTCCTGGAAAGAATTTGTCATATCAGATGTTCACTTATGCATTTGCTGAATAACAGAAGTAGTAAATGAGTAGTAACTTGATCTAATTAATCATAATTAGCTAATATATGTAGCAGTGATGTCTTGACTTATTTCTAATAATTTATCGCATTTCCTTTCCAGTAATTTATTACCAATTACCAGTGGTTTATCTTGTGCCATATTACGACTGATTTGATCTCTCAAATAAAGTATATATCCGATATCGGATTTCAGGCATTTACATATTCAACGATTTAAATAACATGCGTTACCTCAGCAGCTGCAAAGGATGAAAATAGTGAGACGAGTAATTTGCAACACGACTACAGCTAGATGATTTTCGGCCTTCTTTTGTTGTGCTGAAATGCGTGGGTGGGGCTATGTTGATTATCATCCGTAAGTGGACAGGGAGAGTTTGAGAGCTCTACAGCGCTTTTTTTTCATATTTTTCTTTTTTTTTTTCAAAAATTCATTTGCTTTGCTATTTACTTATTCACTCATTTACTTACAAATGCATACTAAGTTTTCCTTTTTTTATTACTCGTTTACGTATTCGATTAACTATTCAACTTATTTGCTAATTTCGTTTCTTTCTTCATTCTCGCACATTTAACCTTCCTTCTGGCGAAGAATGCTTCTTTTTTTTCACTCTTACTGTTCGTTTCGCTACGACGCTAAATTTCCTTAACATGAAAGATCAAAGATCATTGTGCTATTAAACTTGTATAGCTTGTAAGGTCGTTCGGAAATCAAGCATTAATACGGCCTAACTATAATTCATTCTTGTTTAATGGAATTCTTTAAATCTACAAGTTATTGCTATTATCATTTCAATTAATGGATGAATCTGCTAGAAGGGAATGTTGACGCTATTAATTGTTTCATTACTAACCTACGGAATTCACTGACTTCAACTTAAATCGAACTTTGTTACTAGAAGTAATAAACACAAATTCGAAATGCATCACATGTTAACTTGTTTATCAAGCACTGGCATCACGGTCATTCGAGAAGCAAAAGCAAAAATATCAACGAGATGAACAAAAGAAAGTGAATGAGAAAGAAGAAGGATTAGAAAAAGCTGAAGTAATAGCACTATCAGTACCTGGTCAATTACAAACAGTGCTGGAAAATTTACCTTTGGTTTATAATACCGATGATAAGAGTTTACAGCAAGCTGTTACCAGTGGTAATCTTTTTTTTTTAAATTTTTATTTGCTTGACTAAATTCTTTAACTAACAGTCTTATCAAGTTCTTTCCTTTTATTTTTCCAATTTTAGCTAGATTTTTGTATTTTTTAACATAAAATTAAAAAGATGAAATTTTTCCAACAAAGAGAAATCTATGACATTAAGTGCTATTATTTTGATTTTGAATAATTTTGTACATTTGTTTTTTCTATTTATTTATTTTTTCATTTTAGTTTTAACTTTAGTTATATTTTCATTTATTTGTTTGTTTCTTCTATGCTCAATATTAAGCATTATTTTTTCCACATCAGTTGGTTTTGGTTTTTTACACATTCATTTCTTCTATCGAATATCATTTTTCGTCATCGCATAGTTTTAGTTTTTTGTTTTCTTTTTTCTTCTTGTTTTTCATTTGCTGTTCCATCTCTTTTTCTTCTTTTCAACTTTATTTATGTTCATTTTTCTGTTCCCTTTGATTATGCCATTAAATATCACTTCTGTCATTACATAGTTTGAATTTTGCTGCGCACTTTTTTCTCTTCGTTTTATCTTTTAATTTTATTTCAAATTTTACTCTGGTTTTGTTGTTAATTTATTTTTGTCCCAGTTCTTTCAATCTATGGTAGTTGTTTACTTAATCTACGTTTTTTTTTTTCTGACAGTATATGTCCCTCTCCGTGTTTCATTTATTTTCCCACAATAATTTTCTTGTTCTTTTCCCCCAAAAAAACAGTCCAACCATATTCAGTTTTTTAATTTCAAAAATGAGAAATCACTCACAAAATTGTTTTTTGTAAGAGATAAAAGAAAATAGTTGCACATAAGACAAATGTTTGAATAAAGCTTACATATGGCCGACTTTGTGGTTTGAAATTTTCTGGACGGAGTTTTTACTATAATACTTCCGTGCTGTACCTATCAGTCATTTCAAAAATCCGATTAGGAAACAGAATCAGTTATCATTTCGAGAAGAAATTTAATCGTCTTGTTTAACAGTTAGTTTCATATGTTTTGAACAATTGCGATAACGACTAATTTGTATATACATCACTCTTCATTTATGATAAAAAATGAAATTAAAAAAAAGAATATAAAATGTAATGTATACAAAAAGAATATAAAATGTAATTTTTATAGAATAATATGCGTTAAACTCATTACATTCTCCCCTTATTCTACTCATAATCTATAATTTCATCTCTTTCCTGTTCCATACATTACATTTATGATGAATGTTTGCCTAACAATTTTAGCTTTACATTTTTTGTGACGTATATGCTATAGGTTTTATAAATAACTAAATACCACTTTACAGTAATTGCTGCAAATAAAAATCAATGAAATTTTATTGCAGCATTAGGGAATTAAATATTCCAGTCAAGTTTTACTATCAGTGTTAATAATGAGAGTAGGTATGAGAATTATCTTACTTTAATTCTCAGATTCTATCCAGTTTTAATACTGGAGTAATGAAACTCTAAAGCTTCGAATCAAATGTGAAAATTTTCCAAAACTTTTAATGAAATGCCAAAATTTCCCTATTCAAAGTATCTATTGAACATGAAAGGTGGAAATTAATATGATTGATGCATTAATTATTATTTCAGAGTTTCTGATCAATTATTTCAAGGTTTTTCGTTTTTCTTCTTTTAGTTTTTCTTTTTTCTGCTTTTGCAGTGGGAATTAACGACACGGCAGAAAAGGTATCATTCAAACCAGGCCATCGTCGGCGTTCCTCTTATGAATCGGCACAGATCCAACTGACGCACCACCCTCGACATCCAAGTTTTCATCGCAATATCCACTGGATGTATAACAAATCTTTAACTACGCCTGGTTCTTTTCTGAAGTGATTATTTCGCTTGCCATATTTTCATCAGAGTAATCTTGTTTTCAATTTTATTGGTTGGGTTTTATCTCTGATTCGTTCATATTATTATCATTTCTGTATGTTTTACTGATGTTAAAAAAGATGAAAGCTATTAATTGAAAGTTGAGAATGTATAAGTCATTCGCTTCAATAAATTTAATCATTATTCAGGCAAATTCTGTGGGAATCAAATTCCGCCCTTCGTATTTTGTTTACAATAAAGGGAATCGAAAAAGAAAGAAATGTTGAACCTCACCGTCTTACTCCCTTTCCCTGTTCTTCAAACTGGTTATTTAATATGATTTCAAAGGCAATAATTCCATGCATTAGTAGCATTTTGCGTTTTCCCTGCACTTTTCGGCTTATTATTTCATTATTTATACTGTTTGATCTTAAACTAAATGCAAATTTAGAATATTTAATTCATCTCGCACTCTTTTTATTCATATCCTAATTAGAATATGCGATTCAGTGTTTCTGTAGAAGATTTATGCAATCATGCATTTTCATGATTTCTTATAGATTACAGTCACAGATGTCATCAAAAATGAGAAAATCACCGTCATCGTCTTCCGAATCTAATCATTTTTCATACCCACTTTTTTTCAAAGATGATAATGATATAAAAGGTGTTTGTGGCCATTAGTTTGATAATTCCTCACTTTCCAGTTCAACGATTGCTACTACTAATGGTGCCATGGCAACTACAACTCCAGCTATTGCTACAGCTGGAACAGCACTTGATTCTGCAATTGGTAAACATATACAGTGTTTCAGTTTATTTATGGTCGAATTTCTTTATATGTTTCAGATTTTGAAATTTTCAGATTCGAAGGAACTTCAAAAGGAGATGTTATTTATTTGTAGTATTTCCCAAAAATTCTGTCTGGGACACTTTATTGTCATACGGTGTCAGTAAAGGTTAAGTAGTGTCAGAGTAGATTCAAATGATTGTAAACTTGTCGAGATGGCTTTCCGACGTACTAGCTGCCAAGAATTAGATTATAACATTAATTTGTTCCTACAAGCGAGTAAATTAACCAGAATGGTAATAAGGATTTACTTCGGAATTTATTTTTGAATCCTATTGCACTGCCTTCAGTGAAAGAAATTGCATCGCATAAATGTTGGTGCTGATAATGCGTAATCTTTAACAAAATATCTTCAAACACAACTTGATAGATTCGTTTAAATAGTTGCAGGCGGGTCATTGAGTTCGAAACAGAGGTCACTGGATTGTCATAATGAGTTATCGGCTGGGATCATCCCCGATGGTGATGATGATAACGTTGATGAAGACGACAGAGACAGTGATGATGGCATTAGCTTCGATAATATGGATAGTGTAGTTCACGATAGGATGCGAAAGCGAAGTAAAAAAGGTGGACGGAGCACGTTGTCACTCTTGTCCAGTACTTTCACAAGGTTTGCCTTTACACAGATGGATCTACCATGAAGGATGAACTGGAATTACCTTGGAAACGAAGGAAAGGTGCCAGCGATTCTTTGAATTGGAAATTACGATATAGATTTGATCCACATATATGCCCTAAATTCTTAATAAGTTCTACGTCATAATCGAAGGGCCGCATTTGATTTTATCTGAAAGATTGGTTTGATCTATTTGAGTTATAGTTTTTTTTAATTTCGAAATTAACTTTTTTAGAAAGTTATTTTCTCGTAATAAACAACATGAGCATCAACACACAAGTTCTTGGCGATTATTTGGAACTAACAATTGGAAAAGTAGTGGTGGAGGTCGTGCAGCTTCTGCAGCAACTGGTGCGTCCTGTAGTTCTGCAGCTGATGATATATGCTGTTCTACCACCGGTTTAATTCTGGAAGATAGGCCAAGGTTCTACCAGATATTGACTTAAATTGCATTTAGTAATTTTCGGTGAATTTGAAGTCCGTGCTATGAGGTTCTAATTTTGTAAAGATTGCGATTAGATTGCGATTCAAATTGAGGAATTACCGGTAAAATCACTAAAATTATTTGATTATTCATTGCGTCGTGTCTTCTAATTGTAGATCAACTGCATGCCAAAAATGCTGCATAGCTATGTTAAGTTTTTAAAAGAACCTCAATTGTCAGCTGTGTTGTTGGTCATAGTTCTGAAAAGGATTTCTTGCGAATTGAAGCTATAAGTGAAGAAAATAGAATCCGAATGAATTAAATGAATTTTTCAATAAATATATTGGGTATAAATTATATTCAGGACTCCGTCCTTATTGCAGCACTCTGCCAGCGAAATCAATAGCAGAACAACGACGTCATGAAGCGCAGTATTTGGCACTTATTGAAGCAACTAAACGTCAGGAGGCCAGACGTGTACGTCAACGACAACAACTGTTGGAAAAGAAACGAAAAGAGGAAGACGAAACTGCTGCTGCGGCTGAGGTGTGGTGCAGCCGAATATTGCCTAATTGGGAAAATATGTGTGTTTTTTGAGTCCTTTGCTTAACTTAACTTAAGGTATTTTGAGACTTGATTTTGTCATTTAACGGCATAAATCTTTGAAGTAAGGAATCGCCTTTTTCGGCTACCTAAGTTTGCTTTACTTGCCAGAACTTTAAGTCCCTTTTTGGTTGATTTCTTTGAGATTCACACCATTTGCTCAAAGTGATGAAAATGTCACACGTATAATACATGGTAATTCAGTTGCTAGGGTTTAAATCCTAGATCTACATGTTCGAGACTTAACTAGTTATAGCTCTACCATGAATTATTTTTGATAAGTTAGTGAAGAATTTCACCAGGAATTTCACTAAAAAATTATTGAGATTCCTAATTATATTCGAGCTGTGAATTAAGCAAAACGACATGAATACGATAGAAGTTCTGTTCATGTCAAGACTTGCAACATTTTGAGAAAAAACCATATTTTTGATAAACTGAGCATTTCGTAAATGTTCGAGCGCCACTTATCATACCAACAAATTTTTCAGTTCGAAGAAAAAAGAAAGTAGATTAACATTTTCTAATACATTGGCTCGCCGACTAATGTTTAAAATCCCGCGAATCCTTGATTGCATTGTCTTATTTCCAGAAAATATGTGTCTTAATTTGCTTTTAGTAAGGACAGCAAACACTGCCGTGACTTGTGGTGGCGTGGCATACCTTCAAAAGTACGTGGTCATGTTTGGTCTCTCGCCATCGGGAATGAGTTAAATTTAACACCAGGTGGAAGTTTTTTATGGGGTTAACAACATTTTTAATGTTGCACTTTTTTTGGGCGTTATTCGTAACGTTTGCTAACAGGTTGCTAGCCAAATTTGAGACTTTTGTTGCATCATTAATTCTATAGAATTATACGAAATTTGTGTCACTCGAGCAAGACGACATGCTTTTGCTACAACTGTGACAGGACGATGTGGTGGTTCCTCAATTACTGGCTTTATGGATGTCGATCAGCAATTAATTCCACCCGTTTTTCCAAAAGGTTACTATAAATTTTTTTCTAAATCTCGACAATAATTTACAAAGGGCTATTCAGTAACTGATTGATTTTCCAGTAGGCAGCGGTATGGGAAGGCCGATTGGGCGTGAAGGTACTCTCGAGCTGATTCATCTCGATGTTTCGCGAACATTCCCACATTTGGGTTTTTTCCAGAAGGTTTTTTTCGTTGGTTTTTTTTTGAAGACAAAACATATCATGTCGGAAAAGGTTAAAAAATAATTTGTTTAGTTTTTTATATTTAGTTTTTTTCTTATTTTTATTTGTAATTTGGCGATTTTGCTACGGCAGTACTTGCAGTTGCAATTGCAACTATCATAAACTTGAATAAGAAGGTAATCGCACGAACAACACATAATGCTTTCAAGGAAATATGCAGAGATTTTCGAATCTGATGTATCATTTAATGAATGATGTAGATTTTATAGGGTGGACCATATGAAGAGTTGCTTTTGGATTTGTTAGGTGCCTATGTGTGCTACCGTCCAGATATTGGTTATGTGCAGTCGATGTGCTTTCTTGGCGCTATGCTTCTCCTCCAAATACACCAACCGTATCAGTCATTTCAGGCATTTGCCAATTTACTTAATCGACCATTGATGGTGCTTTTGCTTTCTTTTTTGTGAATTCTTTCAAACAAAAAATTCAGACTGTTTTGATCTGTTTATCTTATGTGCTACGTGATGGCTTATCCATATTCTTGCGATCACAAATTATTGACTGTGTAAAAAGGATTCTCGTCTGATAGAATTAAATTTACGGTGAAGGTCTTACGAAAACTTCATTAAAAAAATTTGTTTTAAGCTGGCATTTTTTGGATTACGACAGTCTCAGATGACAGTTTATTTCATAGCATATGACCAGTACTTTGAGCAGGAGTTACCTAAACTGCATCATCACTTTGATGTGCTACACATTCGTCCCGATATGTACCTGATTGAATGGTAACTTATTGTTTTTTACTAATTCCATATTTCTAATTATAGCTAAGCTCCCATTCAGTTTGTCATATTTAAAATGTTTTCGTATTTTCTTAATATCAATGATGATTTTCGATGAGAATTTTATAAGTTAATATTAGTTTAGAATACGGATTAATCAGCAGTTTTTTCAGGGTTTACACGCTTTATGCAAAATCATTACCATTTGATGTTTGCTGTCGAGTTTGGGATGTATTTTTGCGGGATGGTGAACAGTTCATCTTTAACACAGCTCTCGGTTAATTGTTTTTTTTTTTTTTTTTTAATACATTTATTTTGCGGTGAGGCATTACTAATATTTCGGTTAGTTTAATCAATTTAAGATGCACAACAATATTTTAAGATCTTATCCAACCAATGACTTTTTTCTTCTTTCACTGTTGATTCTTCTTGTACGTTTTACATGTTCTCGAACAGTTTAGTTAATAATATTCCAAAATTAGATAAGAGGAAAATTTTTAGATACAATTCATTTGTTCCTTCGTGGCTGTACAGCTGTACAGCTCATGGCAGTTATTAGATATTTTGTATTTAGTTACTAACCGTTAGGAATGTGTGAACTTCACTTTCTTGTGCCAAGTATTCAGGTTGAGCTGTCAGTAAATGATTGTATGTAAATTTTTTTTAACTTTTAAATTTGTAACACACCCGTCATACTTTAGTGATAATGCAGGTATCATGCATTTGTATGAGTGTGAGTTGGAAAATATGAACGATTTTGATGCTGTAGTTCATTTCCTCACCCATTTGCCGGAATCAATGAATGTCAATCAGCTGTTCGATGCCATTGAACCTTTCGTGAAATCTTCCCCTTCTTCTAGTGCAGGTTCGGATCACGGAAACGGAAAAAAGCGTTCTTTTCAGCAGGTATAGTGATTTTGGGAAGTTATGACGATATTTTTAAGTTCTGCATTAGCGATAATATTCAACTATGCATCTATTGAACTTTTAATTTTATGGATTTTTCCTGGATGTTAATTCATTTCATTGCCTCAGTTTTTATAAAAATGGTACTGCTTTTGGAGCCACGAAATTGCATGTAATTCAGACCAGTTGCAGTCATTTTTTTTGTGAAAGTTAAAACAATTTTAATATATTTTATTGCAGATTCATTCGGATGTCACTGAGCGCATAGCTCAAGCGGCTCTAATGGCCGATGGTAGCGGAAATTTTGGTTTGTTTTCATCCCCAATGGATGCATTGTATCAAAAAGGCGAGCCATCTATTCGTAAGCTATATGTTCTCTTTTTCAGTTTTACCATTCTGATGAATAATTTGTTAATTAATCTCAAGAATGATGCCGACATTTTCGCATTTTATTTCTTTTCATTTGGTTGTTTTATTAATCTTGATTAGCAGACAAGCATTTTTGGCTTCTTTAGTTCTGTACTGTAATTTTTTTTCGTACATTTCGAGTCGTCTACACTGAAGTTCCGAATTTTGTATGAGCTAATTATTAGTCCAGAATTATAGGGAGTTGATTTGGTCGACTTTCTGGGAATATTCTTATCATTTGTTCATATTATAGTTTACAGGAGATTGTGGAGGAGATTCATGTAAATCTGTCGTGGCAAATGGCATAGTTAAAAACTCATATAATGTTGACGAGCAACAAGCCGCAGCTATTCGTCTAAACCTATGCAATATGAAAATGAGCAAAAGCTTGAGCGAATTCGTGGGTAAGTGCTTGCTCTTTTTTCTTCCACTGTTCGAGTTTACTACTTCTGTTTTATCTTTCATTCATCGTGCGTTTTAGGTCATCATTGCTACTTTGTTTCATTTTTATTTTTTTTGAAACATGGGGAATTTTGTCCTTTCAATATTTTTGAATAAGAAATTTAAAAAAAATAAACAAACAATGAATGTTTCATTATTTTTGTGGTAAATTAATAACACTGTATTTAAGATGTAAATGTATTCGTTTGAATTCATACGTATTATTTTCATTGTATCCTTATTTTCCTACTTGATTATTCCTATTGCCGTTATATTGCTATTTCCCTTATATCTTTATTAATTTTACTAAATTTTTGACTTCATACCCTTATTACTCCTTATATATTTCCATTTTTACGCTACTCCACAATGACGAATAATATAATTTAAAGTGGTATTCCATTGTGTTCTATGTTATAGCTTACACTAATGATGGTTGGAACTGCTAGAGTATACAGCCGTACATGCAAAATACATTATTTCATGTTAAAAAGTTGGAATCTGAAATTCAAGTTAACACGCCGAGAAATTCCGATTTTTGGTTTGAAATTTAAATAAATAAATTGAGAGTGTTTATGCTTTTGTTTATTTATGGTAAAAAAAAAAATTGTTGCAGATGATATGCTACGAGGCGCATGCACAAGAGAGAGCGATGTATATGCCGACGTTGTTCCGAAGAGTAGAGCACCCACTGCTGTTTAAATTGCTCAGAAGTTGCTGGTCATTGATATATGATTTTTGTGAATCGTCTGGAAGGAGAATGTATATAAATCAAAAGGGATAATCTATCAGGCTTAAAAATCGATTCATGAAGCCTAGCCAATTATCAGTCTGGTGCCCAAAGAGAGAGCGAGAGAGAAAAGAAGTGAAGCGTACTTCTTTGCCTTGTTCAGTTATTACTAAGAGCAGTTGTGAGTAGTATATTTTGTTTTAATTAAATTATATTATTTACTCGATACTTCCACAGATTACTTATCTATAGTTTTGTTACGTTTTTTTTCTAAACAAATCGGACAAGTTCTATTTTTTAAAATTTTTAATAACATGCTCTATTTTGCAATGGCTTTGACCTTAAGAAATACCGTAATCACTCTTTCTTTACCAAATTCATTTCTATATTAAAAGAGCTTTATAATGGATATGGTATAAGTTTGAAGTTTGTCTGTCATTGATACTACTTAATTTATTATCAATATCATTGCCATTATTATTGATTTTTGCATTGGTTTCATTATTGGTTGATAACGACAATTAAAATATTTGTGATTGTTTTTATGACATATTATAAACTAATAGTGGTAGTATCAAGATGCAGTGGAATTTTTTATACATAATTTTTATACAAATTTAGAAATGTTATGTGACTCCATGCATCGCACAAGTAATGATTTGAGCAGGCTAAACTATTGCACATAAAATAAAGTTTGATCACATTGGAATACCGAAGGTGCGTAAGAACTTAATATTCATTGGTTGATTTTTCTTTCCTGTTTGCACCTTATCATTTGTTCGATAAACTTGTCGCTAACACTAGAAAGATAATTTTAGTCGCTGTTATCATTTTTCTCCTATAGTTGGGGAGGTGTATTTAATGAATTAGTTGGTATGGGGCGCTAAGCTAGTATCACTTACAATTTTCAATGTAAATTCAAATAACTTGCTGCTTAATATCATTATTCATAAAAAGGTCAAGCTAGATTTAACTATTTATTTACTGAATGGAGGTATGATTAATCAGAAATGGGAATTGAAGTATGGAAATGAATTGCTATTCCTAAGGGAAGGTCAGACTTTTATCTTTTGTTTCCCTTAAATCTGGATTTTACTGCTTTCCAAAAAACAGTAGCAAGTAATAATGTTACAATATTGGCTGGATTTTGTCTCATTCAATATTTACAAAGATTAAAAAGCGATATAGGTGAATGTCTAAGAAAATGAAAACCATTAAGCTTCTTCTCAATGAACTGTCATCTCATGTTAATTACGATTTAACTTTACTTAATCCATCCTGTCTTTGATTGTCTTCAACTACCACTTAATTTTTTTTTCTCTCTGATTGTCAACATAATTATTCATTTCGTTGTTTATTATAAATGAATTGTTATTGTTTAAAAATTTCTGTAATTTTTCAAGTGATTTTTTAATGTTAACAATTCACAACTATTCCACAT